TAACTAATAACATGCAGCTGAAATGAAGAACAAGCCAAAAAAAAAAAAAAAAAATTAACAGACGAAAGTAGAAAGAACACATTTGCTGAATTAGATGTATTTAAGCAGAAAAGAGCAAACATTACGAAATTGGCTTTAAAAAAAGATGAAATTAGCAAAAATAGCTGAAAAGTAGATGAAAAGGCAGAAAGAAGTTTAAACTAACAAGGAAGTGGGAAGAGCTGAAATAAACTAAAAAATGTGGAAGTAGCTGAAAAAGCTAAAATTAGCATAAAACAGGTAAATAATAGCTGAAATAGCAGAAAAAGTTGAAACTAGCAGAAAAAAGCTGAAAGAAGCATAACAAGCTAAAATTTGCATAAAGACATTAATTAGGCTGAAAGTAGCAAAAATTACTTTGGGAAAACATGAATTTATCTGAAAACAGCTGAAATTAACCAAAAAACAGCTGAAAAGTAGCTAAAAAAGCAGAAATAAGCTTCAGTTACCAGAAGGAATTGGAGAGAGCACATTTTTGATGAATTAGGTTGAAAAAAGTTGAAATAAGTGCAAAAAGTGTGGAATTGGCCGAAAAAGCTAAAATTAGCACAAGAACTGCTAGATGGTTGCTGAAATAGCAGAAAAAGCTGAAGGGAGCATAACGAGCTGAAATTAGCAGGAAAAGGAAGAAGCAAGAAAAAAGCACAACGATGTTTTAGTTAGCAGAAAGAATCTGAAAGAAGCACAAAACAGCTGAATAAAATTGAAGAAAGTTTAAATTTGCACAAGGAAGCTGAAAGCAGCTGAACCAGAACAAAATGGGAAAGGAGCAGTAAAAGGTTGTAAACAAATCTAAAGATGTGAAGGATGTTACATGAGCTCAGCTCATTTTCTATGAGGAAAAAAATGGCAGAAAAGGCTAAATATTTCAAAAAGCTAAAGTTGCACAAACACCAAAAGTCATAGCAGGATTGTCCCAAAAGAGCTGAACGTTTTGATTAGATTTTTTTGAAATGGCACAAAAATTGCGGAACGAGAAAGATGCTGAAAAGCGTACAGAAGAAAAATGGATGACAATAGTGTGAATGCTTCATAAACATTCACACAATGATTCTGTAAAGGGTTTATCTTTGTCTTACTGAAATATGCAAGTCGTCATCTGGATGGGTACATTTGTTGTTCTAAAACCTGTCTGTGCTTTTAGTCCTTTCCAGATGTGTAAGCTACCCATGACATAGGCACTAATGCACGCCCATATCATCAGAGAGGCAGGCTTTTGAACTGTGCTGTAACAGAGCATCTCTAGCCCAAACTGCTCCTTCAGCTGTTTTATTTGTGCCGCCTACTTTTAGTGTTTTGTTGCCTCTGTCCCAGCTTTCTCTTTCACCATGATGCTGCCATAAAGTTCAAAACGACCTTTATTTGAACCTAAACATTGTACAATTTCATACGTTTCATTCTGAATGAAATATTCCTTTTTATTTACATTTTACACAAACTTCTTTGGAAATGGGTTTGTAATACTGTATTTATTTATTTTCCTGCTTTTAACGTGTAACAGCTGTTTGGGCGTTCCTGTGGTTCATCTGCTTCTGTGTCCTGGCCAACCAGTGGTCCAAAACCGACTCGTCTACAGTCCTAGCTGACGCTGCCAGGGCCATCATAACCTTCTCCTTCTTCTCCACCATCACCTGGGTGAGCCTCTGACCTGCATCACGTTACCACCACAATCAAACGTCCAGCTTTAAACACACTATTGTTCAGTTGTTGCTGTAAGGGAAGCTCCACCCACTAACTCCAGCTTCTCTCAACAGGCTCTTCTGTTCTACTTTGCATACAGAAGGTATCGTGAGGGAGTGAGTGAGTTTAACCAGGATTACACAGACCCGGCCCACGACCGCACCACTCCGTACCCACACAGCAGTAGTCAGTACGGCAACAGCGACGCCCCCACGGGCTACCAGCAGTCACCTTTCTCCAACAACCAGGGGAACACAGGGGATTACCAGCCCCCTGCTTACTGAAGAACTGAGACTTGGGCGTGTCAATCCCTGAGGGGAGGGCTGGGTTTTTAAATCATGTGCACAGTTTTGTTTAGTTCAGAACTCGGGGCTGTCCTCAGCGCCCCCGTTTTATCTTTCTGCAGAAATGTTTCCATATTCGTGGGCGTACTGATTTAAAAATTAAGGATGCTGCATCGTCACTGCACATTTTTTTTTATTTGACACGAGTGAAATCTGAAGACTTTTCTTGTTGGAAGGTGATTTTTTTTTTTTTTGTTTGTTTGTTTGTACCAAAATACTTGTAGTACATTAGTTTCAGATTTGATTTCAGTTTAAAAATCATGAAAGCCAAAATGAGCAGGAGAAATCAGATTCACGTTTAAAGGATTGAGAATTGAATGTTTTATGAATATCCTATTGTTCAGCGCACACGAGTGGTTTTTAGAACTTTAACGTTGATGACGCGTCCTCCACAAATATAACTGGATTTATATTTCGACTTCACGGGAAATCATTTGATCTAACGAACCAGATTTTATCGGACACCTCCTTTAAACTGTAATATCTTTATTTCTTTTTTTTAATCAACCACTGAAAATAAGTTTAAATGCACTGAAAATTGTAACTTCACTTACTGCGATTTGAATCTTTAAGCTTATGCTTGTTTTTACAAGTTTATTGTTTTTTACGTATCTGGAACATGCAGTTTGTCCAAACCTGTTTAAAGTGGCAGATTTTTGGGATGTTTTTATAATATATAGTAATAAACTTAAGATATATTTATTATCTTGCTTAAGCTTGGCATTCAAATTTATTTTTTTTAATAGCTTTTTCCTCAACTCTTTGTCATTGACTCGGTGCATTTTCACGGTGAGTGATTTAGGGGTAATTCGACATTAAAGTGCCATGTACAGTGTTCTGTATCAGACTGGATTTGCCAAATAAAAACCATTCCAGTTCTTCTTTGTCAGCGCATAATTTATATCCTGCTTCAACAGAAACGTGTCAACCCTGTGCAGGTGTTGTACACTCCTTTAGCAAATATTTGACATGGATCTGTTTAATACGGACGTGCTTGTAAAAAGAAGACAAAGTCCTCCTGTATACTACTAACGGTTTCTTATACACCAAAGTTGGCCACAGAAAGTTTATTTGACAGATGTGAGATGAAACGTCAGTCAAATGGAGAGAAATTACCTGCTAGTTCTAAATGAAAAAGTTAATTTTATTGATTATAACTTAGAATATTGTAATGTTGAACTGTCAAAAATAGTAGGTTCAGTTTGATCAAAGGCATTAACTTACAAACTGTACAAGGTCTTTATGACTAAGAAGATCTTGTCATAGATGATTTGTTGGAAGCTGATTTTAGTTTATAGTAGGATGTATGCACAATAACCACTTCAATGGATCTTTGTGAGCCATCTCACTGCTTCCTGCTGGACCAATCAGTGTAAGTGCCCCACAGTCCTGATGGGAGGGAGCTCCTAAAAATCTTATACAGTAAATATAATTTATGCAATGTTATAAAAAAGGAAAAATGCCTTGACAAAAGAGCGTCGGCTTACATTATGCTCAGCAGGTTTTAAAATTTTCATACAAGAAAAAACTTTGCTTTAACACGTTGGTAAACCGATAAGATTGAATATTGTTTGAAAAATATAAGTAGTTAGGGAAGTTCAAGGAGCAAAGACTGTGAAAAATGTGGATTTGTTTTTTTTTATTTTTCTATTTGATTTTAACAAGAAAACATTTCCATGTGTCATTTGTACACCTGAAGGTAAAGATGTATTTACTCTAATGACTATAGTAACCTAAACAAACCACAAGCTTAAATGGGTTTCCAATTAACGCATTTGAAAAGAAGAAAAGTTCTCGTAATTCCGACAGCACCTGAAAGCAGCGTCGGACATTTGGCAGTGCGCAGACGCGGTACCGTGCTGTCGTAACCAGGAAGTAGTCCTCTCGATTCGTGTCAGTAAAGAAGGAAGCGACACAAAAATGACACCTGAGCTCCAACCGCCAGCGGACCGCTGTCACTAGCTGAACACACCACATCTGAGGTGAGTTCGAGACCGGGTGGGAAGTTTCTGGATCGGAACCATTTCAAGTTGCTTTAGGGAGTAGCCGTTTGTCGTGGCATTAGTTGGGCTAGAGATTAGACACGAACATGTCAAGGCAAATGGTGTGTCTCTTGCTGAAACATTCCCCTTCTTCTAGCAGACAGAAAATGGATTGAACCAACAGCTTCCTTTCCTTTAGCTCGGTGAAGCTGCTGGAGCTCATTTGTGAAGTTTAATCATAAAGACCTGTAATTGAAACATCTGGTAGTAGTCCAAGGTTTCTGTAACTTACTCTCCCACTGGACAAAACTAGGTTCATAGTGTGCTCCACATCTGTTCAGGGGTCTCCAACACATGGGAAATGTACTCATACGTATTTGTGGACGTGTGTCACTTTAATTTGTTTCCTCTGAGGACTTCCTGTCAGAAAGTGTCCTGTTAGCTCAAACAAACACTGGATTGTTTATTTGTATCCTGATGCACGCTCAATAATCCAGGTAGAAAAATCTAAACAAAGTTAAATCTGGTCCTCTGGACATTCAAAAAAACAAAACAAAGCAAAACAACAACAAAAATTTAGAAACATTTCATCTCTCATCCAAGAGACTTCCTCAGTCTGAGGAGCTGTATACAGCTCAGTCTCTTAAATAGCACCTTCTCAGAGTGGATCAACCAGTTTTGCTGCTGACAACCAAAACCAGCTGATCACATGCTCAAGAAGGACCATCAGCCCAACAATGGATCATTAGCACACTGATGGCTGTTTACTACTCACAGAGGGCTGAGTGAAACTAGCAATCACAGCATTGTAAGAGGGGGACAATTGAACACGTAGGCCTCCACCCCTTTTTAATGATGGACGATTTCCTTTCACAAAGATGGCCTCCTTTACCACCTTTACACCACTCTGAGCAGCAGGACCACGCTTTCCACAGAACAACTGTGTCAACTCTTGAAACTGTGCCTGCAGTCAACCTACTTCACATATGGGGAGCAATATTATAGGCAGAAACATGGGTTTGCTATGGGGTCTCCAGTTTCTCCTATTGTTGCCAACCTGTACATGGAGGAGGTAGAAAAGAGAGCCTTGACGTCCTTTTCAGGGACACCACCAAGTCATTGGTTCAGGTATGTTGACGACACCTGGGTTAAAATT